AGCGAGGTGCGGGAGCAACACCAAGGGTTGCGATCCCGTTGCCGGTCCCGGTCCGGTACGGGCATGACACTGAGGGTTGCGATCCGTTGCCGGTCACGAAAAAAGACAAAAAAAGGAAAAAAAAAAAAAAAAGTTAATGATTCTGAAACTACACACTAGTAATAGTTACACAACCTTCTGCATAAACTAAAACTCAATGAATTGTAAATTTTGATTTTATGGTATGTGAATTATATCTCGATTTTTTAAAATTAATGAAACTTTCCCTGATAGAGATTTCAGTTGCAGAGATGTATGCATTTGTTAAAACTCAGCTGAACAACTTCTGCCAGCCATCAAGGGAGTATTCAAAGAATGATGGGGACATGTCAAAGGACAGAAAACCCATTATGAAGGAAATTCCACTAGCCAAATAGGGGACAATTTGTACACCAAAAAGAATAAGAGCAATGAATTATAACACATTGGAGAGGAAAAAAAGGATCAGTGAAGTGTATTAACTACTAATGGGAGTTATAAACTGGATAACCATTTTGGAAAATTGGGCAGTAGCTATAACCCAGAAATTCCCACTCCTACATGCACTAGTATATGCCCAAAAGAAATGCGTACATATGTCCTCCAAGACACATACAAGAATGTTCTTCATACCACCCCTATTTACAAAAGCCCCAAACTTAAAACAACCCAAATACCCATCAACAGTAGAACCACTTAAAAAATCATGGTATTGTCAAATTATAGAATACTATACAGCAATGCGAGTGTACTATTGCCACATGCAACAACATAAACAAGACTCACAAATATAAAGCTGAACAAAGAAAATTAAACACAAGAAGAGAACATGTAGTATGACTCCATTATAAAGTTCACAAACAGGCAGAACTGATCTATGGTGTTAGATTCAGGATAGTGTTAGGGAGGGAAGCTGTAATCAAGACGGGCATTAGGGAGGCCTGTAGGACAATAGTAATTTTCTATTTCTTGAACTGGGTGCTGGTGTCCAATGAGAAGTTTACTGGGGGTAAAAAGGGAGGGAGGGGCAAATGGAAAGGAGGATAGGTGCATCGAAGCACTTCTGTACAGATGACTACCAGCTAGTAAATGTAGAAAAACTGAAATAAGAAAAAAAGAAAATCACCGTTTTTAACTACCAATGAAATGACTGATTCAAGCAAAAATCAATGTAGACCAAAACAACTGAGTGAAAGTTTGTGAGGAATAGGATATTTGCTGTTTCAAAGAATCACCCCATGGATAACTTATTAATTAGAAAGGGAAAAGGGTACCTTTATAATGGAGATATCCAACAGACACCATCCTAACCAAATGATTAAACTTAACATCACCAATAATGCATGTAATCCTGATGTAATGGGAATGACAAAACAAGACCTAGGTAATGATCTTACCAAAGTTTATCCTAAATCTAACAATGATTAAACAGGGACAGGATCACAGGACATTCTAGAAACAACTAGACTAGACTCTTCGAAAAAGTCCAACTTACGAGAAATGCAAACAAAAACAAGGAAAATGTTTTGGATTCAAACAGACTAAACTGAATGCAATGAATAATCCTTGATCTGATCCTGAATCAGGAGAAAAAGGTATAAAAGAACATTACTGGGACAATTGGAGAGATCTGAATATAGACTACATATTAGATAACCTTACTGTATCAATTTCTTTACAATTTTTGTTTGTTTGTTTTACTTTTTTTTTTTTCTTTCAATTTTATTTTGTCAATATACAATGTGGTTGATTATTGTAGCCCATTACCGAAACTCTTTACAATTTCTTGAGTGTGATCATGTATTGTGCCAATATCTGAAAATGTCTTTATTTTTTAATTATATACTACCTGTAAAATTCTCTTCTGAGAAAAACAGATGCAATTTTGTTGTAATGTGGTTGAAAAGCCACACTGCATCTTTTTTTTTTTTCCTTTTTGTCTTTTTTCGTGTCCGGCAACGGGATCGCAACCCTCGGCGCCGCGCCCGCCCCTCGCTCAGCCAGTGAGTGGGAACCGGTCTGTATGTGGGATCCGACCCCTCGGCGGGAGCGCCACCGCACTCCCAAACGGCGCACTGTAGCAGTGCGCCACTGGGCCGGCCCACCACACTGCATCTTAATGACAAATTGTTTCATCACTTTTTCATAGGGGCATTAAGTCTTTGAACCCTTTCCCAGATTTTTTATTTTCACTTCACCCCAGGGTGATACAAGTGAGGGTGCACAGTGGTGAGTCTGGTGTTGGTAAAAAAGAAAGAAATAGAAGAGCATGAGCCACTGGGAACTTCTGTTCCCTGCTGCTGTTCTTCCTTATACCGTTTGCTCACACTGTGAGAGGATTTTTCCTACTTTTTACCTCAACTTGTGTAAAGAACAATCACAATCTAGGTTTTGCTGAAATCAAGCTGATCTTAACTGATTCACAAGTGAACCCAAAGACCCAAAATCAGCAATCACTGTGAACCCTGCATCTCAAAGCATATATGTGAACAAGAAAATATCAAGTCTCTCTAACTATCAAGTTAAAAAGGAATCTTTTTTAACTTCTATATAACACTAAATGGTTTCAAGGCAGGATTAAAAATATTCCTGCTTACCCACTAACCATTAACTCATACAACTTTTAAGAACCACAGCATATAAGACTATGATTTAACAATTATTCCATATTAAAAATACTAAACCAGAAACTAGAGTCAGAAATTTCTATCTGATTATTAGGCCAACTAGTAAAAAAATGACATTTAGTAGACACCCACTTATGCAGAACCCAGGCTCAGTACATAGTCATAAAATGAGTTGAAGCTCTTGTCCAGCTGGAGCTTATTATCCCTATGGCATAGGAAGATAAAAGCAGAATGACAGGTGGAAACACACATGTACCAAAATACCAGTGAAAAATTAGGAACCCTTAGAATGATCACACCTAAAGCTGACTGACGATTTCAGAGATACAGGAAAAGCTTTACCTGCAGAGTGTAATTTTTATGGATACAAATAAGCTGGTCAAGTGATCAAAAATTTCAACCCAGAATTCTCAAACTTCAATTCTGTAATTTTAGCTTTCATTCAAATTTTTAAAAAGTCATTTTCAGGTATTTCATTAACAAAATGCTATTTGCAAAAATAAGAACAAACCTTTCCACTCTGGCGGTGAGGTCCTCTGCAGGTCTCTGATTTGAACATCCACTAGGCTCCTGACAGGGAGTGGCAGGGCCTGAATTTTCTCCTCCTTAATTATTAAATAAAAATAAGAATACTGCATTTAAATGCAATTTTTAAAAGGTAGAAATCTTCTGGATTATGATATCTATTTATAATCTTCCTTCTTTAACATTATACATTTCCCCTATGACTAGAACAGGAGATAAGATACGAGCTATTACTAATCTTGAAGTTTGGATCTGGAAAAAAATAAGTGGAAATAAGGCAATTACTCAGTTGAAGGTCACCAAGTTTAAGGTCAGAGGTAAAGCATGAAGAAATATCAGTTTTGCAGGAGGCATGCCTGGCCATGGGTAGGCTTCACTCTACAGCAGTGCTGTCCAATACGGTAGCCACTAGCCACATGTGGCTACTGAGCACTTGAAATGAGGCTACTGCAGGTGAGTGACTAAATTTCTAATTATGTAAACAAATAAATAAATAAAGATACAATAATCACAATACTTTGCTGAACTTTCAAAAGGGCAGAAAAGAACTAAGGCCAACAGAGGTGAGAAGGCAGGAGGAGTGAATCAGCAAGAAAATGGTAAAGGGCCATAAAAAGTGATTACATTGTATAATGTTGAATATACTAATTATATAGATTTAAGCATCACATATAGCATCAATGCTACTCCATAGATATGCACAATGAATTATATTTCAATTAAAATTTTTAAAAAATAAAATAAAAATAAAAACTCTTTCAATAAGCATGAAATAAATGACAAGAAAAGTAAATAAAATTTTAATTATACTTAATTTTAATTTAAATAGCCACATGTGACTGTTACTATATTATTGAACAGCACAGCTCTAGAGGCCAAGTTTGATCCTGGGAATGGCTCTAGACTCACGTTGGTCCAAGGGATCAGCTTCTGCTGACCAAAGTGACTCCTTAGAGAGTCTCTTTATATCTATCCTATTATTCTTTGAAGGATTCCTGAATGATGGAATTTTCTCCTGGCCCATTCTACAGGGTACTTATAGCCTGGTACTTCCTTTCAGAACCTGTCATTTCCTTCTTTGCTACTTGCCACCAATCTGATTCTTCTTTAGAACAGTAAGGACTGTGGAGCCACAAAGCCTGGGTCCAAGTCCCGTTCTGTCACTTCAGTAAGTTACTTAATCTCTGTGCCTCATCTGCAAAATGGGGACAGTAACCTCATAGGGTTGTTATGAAAAACACATGTTCATTCAAGTAAAATGCTTAGAACTTTCCTGACTGACACACAGTAAGTGCTTTAGTTATTACAGGAGTAGAAGAAATAATCAGTATTACTAAGTAGAGCTAATGGTGCACATCTTTTCCTACCCCTGCATTCAGTGGAATCACCTAAGTAGCTTGAAATCAGCCACGGTGAGAGTATTTACACCTTGGAAATGAGCAAGTATTAAAAAGAAAGGCTTGTTTTTAAGCTTTCACAGAGGCTTTTAGTAGACATATACCAGCATACCACTGAATGCAACCCTTGGATAAGAAGTGGTAACCACTGGCAGCTAGTGTGTGTTCAGTAGGAATTAACTAAGGACATAATATATCTTGATATCAGCAACAAATTTAACAAAATTTTTGAAGATAACCTGTGGAGAAGCCATGGGGAAAAAAGTGCTGAATAGCAGTACAGTGAGGTGAACCTATGACCCATAATCAAAGAGAAATGGATGGATGTCACACACAGGAAGACTTCCAATGCTATGCCACAGAGTTCTCTGCTTTTGGCATTTTATAAATGACTTGAAGATGTAGCATCTACATTTGTAACTTTATGGGTAACCCCTAAACTGGGTGAAATAGCTTATTAACAGTCATATTTAATTCCAATTACTGGATGAAAGGGAGTTTAGGAGGTGGGGGGAGCAGGGAAAAGCCTCAGTGAGTAAATAACTGATAAAATCCAAAATAACGAAAATTTATCAGAGGAAGTTTTGCCTTTAGGTTTAAAAAGTTAATTGGATTATCAGGCATAAAGTACCTCCTGACGGAAATATACATCATCACCTAAAGTAGTCTTGCCAAAAAAGAGTAAGAAAGAACCCAAATCTGAAAATGCCTAGAGTTTTAACTATCAATTTAAAGAAAATATTGGGAAGAGAGAACATTTACATAATTCCATGGGGATACAGCAAAATCCAGACTGTGGGAAACTACAGGACAAATTACCAATAACAGTGGGAACTATATATTAAATTAAAAGACCTTTCAACAAATAGCAATATATTTGACTCTGATTCAAACAAACTGAAAAAAAAAATACTGTAATATAAGTATCACCTAGATAATTGATGATAAAAAAGAATTACGGTTAAACTCTCTAGCTTTCATAATGGATAACAGAATTGTGGTTCTTCTAAGTTTTCATCTTTTAGATACTGACATTTATAAAGATGAACTCATATACAGCCTGAGATTTCTGTCATAATAATCTGGGAGAGGTGGTGGTATAACGATAGAGAAGACAAAAATTGAGCAAATATTGACAATTACTGAAGCTGGATGATGAGTACCTTGAGTTCAATTTCGATTCTCTCTACTTTCCAATGTGCTTGCATATTTTCATAATTAAAAAAAAATTTTTTTAATGGCCATTATATATAATCTTAAAAGAGTCTTTCCTTACATTTTAGAGATAAATATCAAAATATTTGAGTACGGGGCCGGCCTGTGGCTCACTCGGGAGAGTGCGGTGCTGATAACACCAAGGCCACGGGTTCGGATCCCGTGTAGGGATGGCCGGTTGGCTCACTGAGTGAGTGTGGTGCTGACAACACCAAGTCAAGGGTTAAGATCCCCTTACCGGTCATCTTTTAGAAAAAAAATATTTGAGTATGAGTGAAGTGCACAGGTGAAACCAATATTGGCCAAGTTGAAGACAGGCAATGGATTCATGGGATTTCTTATACTATTTTCTCTACTTATGTACATGTTTGACATTTTCCAGAGTGAATAATGTTTTTAAACCTATAAAGAACTGAGATTAGAGCTGATACTCACCTCAAATTAGACAGAGCTTATAGTTTGAGTATATCCAAGTTAACTGCCTTATAAAACAAAAACATCATCATTCTTTCCAGCAATACAATAGAATCCAGTGTCTACAACAATGTGCGAGATAAAACCCAAAAGTTTTTGACATACAAACAAACAGGGAAATCTGACCCATTATCAAGGGAAAAGGCAAACAACAGAACTCAACCCTAAGATAAGCTAGAAACTGAAATGATCAGACGAGGACATTAAAGCGGCCATTTTAACTCAATGAGATAAAAGAAAAATATGCTTGAAATGAATTAAAAGATAATAAAACAATAAAATGTGAATAAAGTGTACTTAGAAACTCACTGAATTTTTACAACTTCTTTTTTTTTTTTTCCTTTTTGTCTTTTTTCGTGACCGGCATCAGATCGCAACCCTCAGTGTCGCGCCCGTACCGGACCGGGACCGGCAACGGGATCGGATCGCAACCCTCGGTGTTGCGCCCGCACCTCGCTCAGCCAGTGAGTGGCCGGTCTGTATGTGGGATCCGAACCCTCGGCGGGAGCGCCGCCGCGCTCCCAAGCGGCGCACTGTAGCAGTGCGCCACCGGGCCGGCCCCGAATTTTTACAACTTCTATAAGTCCAATTATTTCTAAATAAAAAGTTGTAATAATAATAAAGAAGGACAAAATAGAAATCCTAGAACTAAAATGTATTACCTAATCTTATTTAAAATAAAAAAATTCACTGGATGAGCTTAACAGCAGAATGGAAATGAAAAAGTGTCAGTGAACTTATAGATCAACAGAATTATCCAATCTGAGGAAGAGAAAAAAGATTAGAAAATTGGGCCGGCCCGGTGGCGCACTGTAGAGTGTGCTGCTTGGGAGCGCAGTGGTGCTCCCGCCAAGGGTTCGGATCCCATGTGGAGACCGGTTCCCGCTCACTGGCTGAGCGCGGTGCAGACGCAACACCGAGGGTTGCGATCCCGTTGCTGGTCCCCGGTACGGGCGTGACACCGAGGGTTGCGATCCCGTTACCGGTCAGTAAAAAAGACAAAAAGGAAAAAAAAAAAAAGATTAGAAAATTGAACCTGTGGGACAATATCACAAAGCCTAATATACATGTAATTAATTTTGGCAAGATAGGAGAAAAGGGACAAAAAAAATTTGAAGAGATAAGTCACAACTTCCCAAATTTGGTGAAAGTCATACATTATGGGTTCGAGAAGCTCAGTAAATCCTAAACAGTATAAATACAAATAACAACACCCCTGGGCATATCATAGTCAATTTGCTGAAAACCAAAGAAAGAGAAAATACTGAAAGTAGCTAGAGAAAAAGAACATATTCCATACAGGGGGAAACAATTAGAATTTACAAAAATTAATCAGAAACTGTGGAGACCAGAAGACAGTGGCACACCTTTAGAGCGCTGAAGAAACAGTAATCATAAATCCCAAATTTTATATCCAACAAAGGTAACCACCCAGTACTGGCTAGCCGCCAAAAGTAAATGAACAAACAAAAGTATCCTTCCAGTATGAAGATGAAACAAAGACACTTTCAGATAAAAGAAAATTACAAAAACAAACCAAAAGAAAAAAGCAAGCAAGCAAGAAGGAAAACTACAGACCTGCACAATAAAAAATGAAAAAGGACTTTTTTTTTAGGCTGAAGTGAAATTATACCAGAGGGAAACAGTTATCTTCAAAAAGGAATGAATATGGAAAACAGTACAGAGGTTTCTCAAACAACTAGATAGAACTGCCATACAATTCAGCAATCCCACTGCTGGGTATATACCCAAAGGAATGGAAATCGTCATGCCGAAGGGATACCTGCACTCCCATGTTTACTGCAGCTCCATTTACGATAGCCAAGAGTTGGAACCAACCTAAATATCCATCAACAGATGACTGGATAAGGAAAATGTGGTATATATACACAACGAAATACTACTCTGCCATAAAAAAGAATGAAATTCTGCCATTTGCAACAACATGGATGAACTTAGAAAAACTTATGTTAAGTGAAATAAACCAGTCACAGAAAGAGAAATACCACATGTCCTCACTCATAAAGGGGAACTAAAAACAAACAAATAAAAAAAGAAAGATACAACAATCACAATAATTTGTTGAACTGTTAAAAGGAGAGAACAAAACTGAAGCTACCAGGAGTGGGAAGGGGGGGGTCAACAAGAAATTGGTAAAGGACCACAAAAATGATTACATTGTGTAATGTTGAATATACTAATTATCCTGATTTGAGCATCATATATTGCACACAAGTATTGAAACTCAATGCTGTACCTCACAGATATGTACAATTATGTTTGATTAAAAATAATAAATTTTAAACAAACAAAAAAGAGAAACAAAGCATTTTGGGAATGATAAATATCCAGGTAAATATATTCTGTTGTAGACATAAATGGACTATATCCATAATACAGTCCCCCAGTTCTGTATGCATCCAGAATTTGAAAGATCTACGGATATAAAAACCTCAAAATGAGACTGATAGCTGGTCTTCAAATTTTTCATGTGTAATTCCACAAAGCAGCATTAAAGTTAATGGGAAGTTATAGGGCATCAAATTTCAGTGAATATAAGGAAGAATCTTTCTAAAAACTAGAGCTGATCAATAACAGAATAGGCTTCCTAACAAGGTAATGAGTTTTATATTATGAAATCTATTCAAATAGAGGCTTGACTGGGATGCTGAAGTAGGATCATGTCTCAGTATACTAATATTCTAACTTCTTGGTTTACCTAAACTTATGTTGCCCTATACAAAACTATATTATATTAAACAACTCTGAACACAATCCTTAACAGTCTAAAATTTCTCTGTTGTCTTTTCTATTAATTCCTTTGCAGTCACATCTCTATTTCTACAAGCTCAATTTCATAATAAAGCAATATTATTCTCTTAAATACATATAGCATTTTAGGTTATATGAACAATTCCAAATACAAAGTGAATTTGAACTTTTCAAAATCCTCTAGGCTGGGAAGAGATTCATAAAACTGCTAATTGTCATAATGACATTCCTTGAACCACAGGACAATAGCAGAAATTACAAACCAACTATTCTGGTCTGCTGACTATTTGGGAGTGAAGGGAACATTCACGGACTTTATCCTCTTCTGCCACTGAATGGCATGCATATATATTTAAGAAAACATTTAAATTTTAACAAATTTTAAGTTAAATGAATGTGAGAGAAAAAAAAACATAGAATATATTTATTTTTAAAAATTCTAATCCGTGGCCTTTAAAATGAAGATTTTAACCAAAAAGGTATGTTAAAATTTACCTGTTGCACCATCTGACTTTGTATCAGTAGTAGATGGTGTCTCACAAAACTCTACATTTCCAGACTGAGAATTTTCAGAAGTGTTATGTTCAAATGAGGCAGACGGAGTAGACACTGAACTTTCTGACTGGCTGCCATTTGCCACTGATGTCTCACCTTTTAGTGAGTGCATCTAGAGAGAAAACAAATTGGAATTTAACAGATAAGACTTAGAATTTATGATGGCAGATGAGACCAAAATATGAGTTAAGTCAAGTTATACTCTGTAAAAGTACTAAACTCTAAGTATATGAATTTAAAATGTATAATCCCAAACATAACATAATCACATTATGGAATTCAACTGCCAACTGGCAGGGAATAAAAAGATTTTTTTAAAGCACACTATTGATTTCCCTTCAAATCAGAATTTTAAAAAATAAATAAATAAAATAAGTTACAAGTTTATATTAACCAACTGTCCACAGTGAGTGTAAATGAGAAATTATTGAGTGTAAAGTTCTTAAAATATGTCAAGCAATAGAGTTAAGGCCTTAATGTGACAGCAACTCTTCCTTGCAACAAAGTAATGGTGATGTGCTTTATGTGGTTGTTGTCAGGGGTTAAAGAGGAGAATAAGAAGTCACTCAAGTATTAAGTATAGGCACCTGCAACTTCATAACACTATTTTCAAAACCAGTCCAGAAAGACAGTATTTATTACCTTTTAAGTTTAATGGCATGGCAATTTCCTCAGTATCCAGAGGGCCTCCAAAAATATTCCAATATCAAATTTCTAACAAATCATTTTCCCCTATTTATGCAAAAAAGTTTTCTTTCTTACCTGTCGGACTTTGTGAATTCTCGTAACAAGTTCATCTGCAGAAACACTTCCTGCTATTACTTCCAAGGGAATTCCACTGTCTCCAATAAAGAAACTGGATGGAACACACACTACAGGATCTGTACAGTTTAATTAAGTCTAACAATTCATGTGAAACAAAAGGATAATTTTATGTAAAACTATTCATAACAAAGCAAATTATCTTTGCGAATTTCACAATATAATCCACTAACATGCTTATAATTTAAACCACCGTATTATGTGTGTAGTGCACGTAACCTGTAAAATGATTTATGATTTACTTGTATAGCATATGAGTGAAGAACATCTACTACAATTTTCTGTATCATAACTTTCTTTCTTTTACGTCCATCTTGCTGCTACTACCTGCCTCCACCAGCTACTTCTAACATCCCAACAAATTGCTCCATATTGCTTTTTCAGATAGTCACATAAAAAAATTCCCTATTCTGCCAGTAGCTACAATGTATTATCTCAAAGGACACTTAGTAATACAGTTTCCATAAATAAGAACACATGATTTCCTAAATAAAAATGAATAATTTCTAGATTTTATGAATTAACCAAAATGTAAAAATGCAATTCTTCATTGAAAGGATACAGATTTGTGAAAATTGTAGGCAGGCTTCACTGTAAAACAAAATGAAACAGAAAATCACTAGGTGAATGCAACTATTTCCCAAATATTGAGTTGTTTTTTTATAAAATTTACTGTACCAATTATAATTATTTTTCTGAAATTGTCAATTCCTTTCACAGTAATCAGCTGGAAGGATAAAAACAAAATGAAACAGAAAATCACTAGGTGAATGCAACTATTTCCCAAATATTGAGTTGTTTTTTAATAAAATTTACTGTACCAATTATAATTATTTTTCTGAAATTGTCAATTCCTTTCACAGTAATCAGCTGGAAGGATAAAAATGTAATTCTTATTTCAAAAGACTTTTGTTTTAAATATTTCAATTGGTGTTACTGAGATTCTAGAATGAGGCAACACATTATTCCATAAAACAGAATAAGTGTTCCCAGTTTATTTGATTTATAATTTTCAGATTAAAGTATGATTTGCTCTTACAACCCACAAGTTGGTGGCTGTATCTGGTGGGTGAAAATGGAGTTAGTATATGCCATGCTGTTTCCTCAGCAGCAAGTTAAGTATAGTATTCCTGAATACATACGTTAATCTGTAACAAGAAGATGTAATGCCTACTATAACTTACTAGTGCCTGTGATAATGTAATACTCTATAATAAAGGATTCAAAATAACCTAAATATTCACTAATAAAAACTGATTAACTATACAATCATAAAAAGAAAAACAGTATAGAAAAGTGTGTCAGGGGCCAAACCCGTGGCTCACTCGGGAGAGTGCGGCGCTGGGAGCACTGAGGCAGTGGGTTTGGATCCTATATAGGGATGGCCAGTGCACTCACTGGCTGAGCGCAGTGCGGACGACACCAAGCCAAGGGTTCCGATCCCCTTACCGGTCACAAAAAAAAAAAAAAGAAAGAAAGAAAGAAAAGTGTGTCAAAATGCTACCATTTTTGTAAAAAATTGGCGGAAAATAAATACCTGTTGATTGTGTTGCCTCCAGAGAAAGGAACTGAATGGTCAGGGATGGAAGACAACTTTTTTAACACCAATAAGAGAGTGATCAATGCAGATAAATAATTCCAAGAGATAAATTAATGTGTCCATTTAACAGAGTTTAATTTTTTCTGAATATAAAGCATGATCATCATGAGAATATTTGAAAATATAGGAAAGTATAAAGAAAAAAATTACCAAAAATCCTACCATCTCAGAAATAACCACTATAAACTTTTGATGCATTTCCTACCAATCTATTTTCAATGCATTTGATCTCCAAAAATATAAGACACAATAGATTCTATTAGAAGGCAGTCCATCATTACACAAAGATCAAACATCTCTATACAGATATTCCTGTACCTACTAATAGAAACTTCTATTTTTTAAAATGCTAGATAAATCGGTCTGTATATAATCTCAAGAACTGTGAAATTCTCGTATCTTCCACATTTCCAATAAACTCCTATATTCTTCCTGCCATTGCCAACTCTAAAAGGTACTTCTGGGGCTAACTGGTTAGCTCACTTGATTAGACGGTGGTGTTCATAACACCAAAGTAAAGGGTGTGAAGGGCTGGCCAGTTACCTCGGGTGGTTAGAGTATAGCCTGATAACACCAAAATCACGGGTTTGGATCCCTGTACCAGCCAGCTGCCCAAAACAAACAAACAAAAAGGTGCTTCTGGAAGATAATGAACAATGTAAATAAAATGATATGATATACTTATATTGATAGATTCTGTTTTTATTTTTTTTTTATTATTTTTTTTCCTTTTTGTCTTTTTTCGTGACCGGTAACGGGATCGCAACCCTCGGTGTCGCGCCTGTATTGCGACCGGCAACAGGATCGCAACCCTCGGTGTCACGCCCGCACCGCGCTCAACCAGTGAGCGGACCGGTCTCTATATGGGATCCGAACCCTCAGCGGGAGCGCCGCCGTGCTCCCAAGCGCCACACTCTACCGAGTGCGCCACCGGGTTGGCCCGACAGATTCTGTTTTTAAAAAACTCCTACAGATCAATAAATACACAGTTCAGTAACTGTTGTGACGCAGGCTATGATTTGCTTTATATAACATTTTTGTTAATATAAAAATTTTTAAATAAAGAAGTTTATAAGCTTACAGGTAAATTTCTGAACATTTTAATCTTGACAGTAATTTTCAAACACATTATTCATTCTGATATTATCAATATTAAAAGGACAGGAATACTATTTTGCAATTGCTAATGAATTAATGTTTGTAGGCACTGATCACCAATGGCTGCTAACATCATAGAGACAACAGGGTATTATGTGCCTTCTGATGGAAGACATATCACCATCTACGAAGTAGTTTTGAGGGAGGAAGGGGGATCAAATCTGAATCCACCTATCAATTTACAGGAAAGAGAGGAAAGGAACAAACTAAATGAAACTAACAGGGCCACTAACAAAATCTAGACAGTAGGAAATGACAGTAGGAAATGACAAAACACAGGTACAGAACAAATTACCTGGTTTCTTAAAAAAACAAATTGGAAAGAAAAAGAAAAAGAAAGAGAGAGAGAGAGAGAGAGAGATGGAAGAGAACCCTACAGACTAAGAGACTTGAGAGAGATCAACACATCAGTGAGTGGAACTTGATGGATCCTGAACCATAAAAACTGTAATAAATTATTAAAATTAGAGCTGGCCAGTTAGCTAAGTAGGTCAGAGCATGGTGCTGATAACATCAAGGTCCAGGGTTCAATCCCTGTACTAGCCAGTTGCCAAAAAAACAAATACATAAAATTATTAAAATTGATGAGACAATTGAAAATTTGAACACTGTTTGGTTATTTGATGATATTAAAGAATTACTGATTTGTTTTTGAAGTATTACAGTTATGTTAAAAAATTAGGAATCCTATATTTCAGACACATCTTGAAATATTTACAGATGAAGTGATATGACAACTGTGATTTGTTTCAAATTATATGGGATGAGCAGAAATGAGCGGGGGTATATATAGATGAAATAAGAATGACCATGAGTTGATAATTGTCAAAGCTAGCTAACAAGTACATCGGGTTCATTACACTATTCGGTTACTTTCATATATATTTGAAATGTTCAATAATAAAAGTAGAAAATGAAGAAACAAAACAGACTTGTAGATATTAGGTACTATAAAGGACCTATAAATGTCCTTATTCCTACCGAATTAAGTAGTTCCATTCCAAAAATAGGATCCAAAAGAAGTAGTCAAAAACATTCAATATATGATTTAGTAACTTCCAAGTTCTTGGTAACTGGAGTGGGATCACAGTTCCTTTTGATTACTTGTATGCATCACATAATGGTAGACTTGGAAAGACTACAAAAACTTGAAATTTTTTCAGCAAGACAAAAGGATATATTTGGAAAACGGCAGTCAGAATTTAAGTTTCCAATATGCCTTAGACATCCAAAAACATAAAACATCAACACTCTAATAGTCCAAGAGTATAAACATAAATCACAATCAAAGACCATGATTATAAAATTAAAAAGTAAAGAAATATTAAAACATAAACAAACCTTTTGGTATCAATTTTAATAGCAACAAAACTGTTTGAAGATGCTTCTGTTACTTTCTCATCTTCCCAACTTGCAGCCATTTGTGTAGACTGCTCATCTTCACCTACAAAACATTTCAAGGATTCTTATAACATAAGGCCTGAGTTTGCTGATTGCGAATGCTTTTCCTGGAAAAACTGGAACTTCTAATAAAACATAATCCCACAAATACTATTTTCTACCAAATATGAAAACTGAATTTGCCATAAAATGAAAATGTGACTGCATCCACTATTCACAAAGTAAAGAGTAATGAAAACAAAACACTGCTATTTTGATGATACCAAGTATTTTCTAAAAGTAGACAATCAAATTATGATGCAAATAGTATCACAATAATAAGTCACAGGTAGAAATGTGCAGTGCCTATTTTGGCTTTTGTACATATAATTTCACAAAATAAAAAAGTACATTACCCTTCCTTTATGTAGCACCTTTCTGTTGAGTTTAATGTCTCCATACCCACAGCATTTATTTCCAAAATTCCTCCACAGTATATAGAGGCAGGTACAATTCTGTTTGCAGTTTGGACTTGCCTTTTATTATAAGTATACTAAGTATAAAAGTTACGCTGAGCCAAAACTAATCTATGGTGATAAATTCAGCACAGTGGACCCCTTGATGGAGGGGGAGTTGCTACTGACTTGGAAAGAGTACACAGGAGACTTCTGGGGTGCTGAAAATGTTCTGTATCTTGATCTGAATGACGGATACATAGGTGTGTTAATATACACTCATTTAATATACTGTATGTTAGCTGCAACGAAAAAATGTTTTAAAAGTTATACTTATCAAGAGATTGTTTCAGCTCAGACCTGTAATGTCTAGACTTTGGTATAACCACTTATCGGTGGGCAGAGGGAAGTCACTGAAAAGTATTTCTGAGGTTAGCTAATTGCTTTCTCAAAATGAGTAACCTCTGCCAATTTGCACATTTATGAAAATATTTTCAGGCCACATTTTTTGTTTTACAAAAATGACACAATTATTTACCTACGTTTGTAACCTTCTTTCTTCCTGGGGGTTCACCCTCCTTCCCCAATTTAATCCACCCTTAGTCTTCCCCACCTCAGTTATCTGTTTATGGTAAATTCTATCTTTTCAGTTTTCAGGCCAAAAACCTTAGTTATTCTTGACTTCAGTTGACCATCTACAAAATATATCAAGAGTGTAACTATTTCTTACCACTTCCACTGCTACTACCCTAATCCAAGCTATCACATTTCACCTAAACAAGGACAGTAGCCTCCTTCCTAACTAGTCTCCCTGCTGAGTCTATTCTTCACACAACAACTTTCTTTAAAAAGAAAGATCACATCAACTCTCTGCTCAAAATCCTATAATGGCTCCCCATTTTCCTCAAAGAAAAAGCCAAAGTCTTTACAAGGACCCACCAGGCCCTACACATCAGGTCTCCAGTTATCTCTCTGACCTCATTTCCTTTTTCTTTTTTTTTTTCTTGGCAGCTGGCTGGTGCTCCTTTTTATTTCTCGCTATTCCTTTCTTTTCTATTCTTCAAATACGAAAGACACTCCAGTATCAAGGTCTTTGTACTAGTTGTTTCCTCTACATGAAATGTTCTTCCTCCAAATATCTACATGGTTCATTCTCAACTCCCTTAAATCTTAGCTCAAATATCACCTCAATGAAGCCTTCCCTAATTACTTTAAAATTACAGCCTTCAGACATTCCCAAAGCTCTGGTTTTTTTTTTCTGTATTACTTATCACCTATAATATACCATGTGTTTTAACTATGTTTACTTTCTGTCTCCCCAACAAGAATGAAGGTTCCATGAGGTCAAGAATTGTTTTCCATCTTATCTACTGGTAAGACTCAAATCCCTACAACAGAACCTGGCATACAGTAAGTACATGGCATATAGTAGGCACTAAGTATTCTACAGAATAGCTAAATGTCTGATACAGTGAGTATCCTGGCCTGTCTACGATACTTGAATCTTAATGCTGTACATTTGAATACATATTATGTGAGATGAGATCCAGAAATACCAGGAATGGGAGTTTGAGAAATCTGGCCATGGAAAAGTAAACAGGAACTAGAATGTATCCACAGACCAAGACCCAAAAGAATGCCCCATTAGCAGACTCCCAGATTTTGACAATGAGGGAAAATTACCATTTGCAAATGAGATCGTTCTGAATGGTCTTCAGAGACCATGGGGTGAGAATAAAAAATCCCCCCCCCTTTTTTTTAAAAAGATGACCGGTAAGGGTATCTTAACCCTTGACTTGGTGTTGTCAGCACCACGCTCAGCCAGGGAGCGAACCGGCCATCCCTATATAGGGATCTGAACCCGCAGCCTTGGTGTTATCAGCACCGCACTCTCCCGAGTGAGCCACAGGCCGGCCCTAGAATAAAAAATTCCAAGTAACAGATTGTTTTTGGTTTTTGGCGGCAGCTGGCTGGTATGGGGATCTGAACCCTCGATCCTGATGTTATCAGCACCACGTTCTCCCAAGTGAACTAATAGGCCAGCCCTGAAATTCCAAGTAAATGACTATCAACTAGAATATAGCTATATGGGAACATTCTTACTACAAACACTTCTCAGAGAAGGCTGTGAAGAGTGAGGAATCCTTTTCATTCATTCTTTTGTACATTCACTATTTTATTTCACATTTATTTTGTTTTAGGCATTAGGCTATGTAAACTAAAGATAAAACAAATGAGACATTGTTTGCCCTCAATGGAGCTTAAAATCTAACAGTACAAATAAAAAAAAAATTTCAAACGAGTAGACAACTATAAATATTTACAGTAAAAATGCTACGGAAAAAAAGAACTAGGAAAGAAAATAATGAGACTTCTTTATAATGGTCAGGGAAGCTCTCTCTGAGGTGACACTTAAGGCAAGCCTAAAGAATGAAAGAACCGAGCCACACCAAGAGCCAGAATAGTTCACCAAGCATAAGAAATCCATGTGTAGGATAATGTCATGGTAATGTCATGAACAATGGAAGCACGAAACAGAGAAGAAGAGTTAAGAGAAGCAAGAATCAATGACAACTTCCACACTTATGGTTTATCCAAAAGAAGTATGGTGGTGTCACTTACTTAGACAAAGAACACTAGGAGAGAAAAACAGGTTTAGGCGGTAAACATACTTTTAGGCTTGAAAATCCTGTGAAGGATCTAAATTGGGATGTCACATAGGTAGTGAAAAATATGGAAATGCTTCTTGTGAGGTTGGTGCTTTTTTCTCCCGCACCTATATGGAACTACGTGGGTAGGGTCTGCAGTCACTCAAAGTCACTGAAGCTTAATCCCCACTGTAACTGCTGAGGGTGGGAAGTCCTATTATGATAATTGAAAAGTGAGCCCTCTCTCTCTCTCTGCTCTGCCATTCTGCCATGTGAGACCCCTGCATTACCGCCAAGGAAGACCCTCACCAGATGTGTTCCCCGGACTGTGGACTTCCCAGCCTCCAAAACTGTAAGCAATAAATTTTGTGTCCTTACAAATAACCCAGTTCCAGGTATTTTGTTATAAGCAACAGAAATTGACTAATACAGAGTCCCAAAGGTCAAATCCCCACTGGCAGTGCCTGTCCATAATTTAACCTAATGACAACTGCAGCTGCTTGATCAGCAGATGTTAAAAATTGAATGGAATTACTCAAATTAATGAGAGCTTTCTTAATACTTACTGCTAAGTGGGATTATTAATTGCCAATTTCTTTATCTTTAGATTCTTGTTTTTAATCAAATTATCAACTATGCTATGAAGTTAGGTAGGGCTAAAACTTTAGGAGAAAACATTGTATCCTCGGTAGTATCAGCAGTATGCAAAGTGAAGGCACTTAAAGACAACAGTACAAACTTGGAAGCAATGAGTTGCAGACCCTAGTACAGCAAGCCCTTCTCAACTGCTCAAAACTTAAAAGGCTTTTGTGGTCTGTATTAACCAAAAAAGGCAGTAAATGGTATCTATCATTAACAAATTTTAGCCTGCCTAGCAATACCAGTCAGTGAACAGATACCATTGTTTCAGGCTCCTTGTCAGATTATTCTACCTTCCCAAGAAGAAAATCAAAATCATTTTCAGTTTTACTTCTTTCAATTTACACAGCTACAATCCTCGTTCAAAAATCCTTAATTTGTTGGCTGAAGTAGCAGTGATCTCTCCAGTCTCCTAACATCAATCAACTCTACGATATTCTTTATTTCATCCATGAAAATTTCACTAAGTAAAAACAACTTGTCTAAAATGTTTCTCATTTGAATAGTTCTCTGAAGCACAGTGTATCCTAGAGACCACTCCTTCCAGCTATCAATATATCTTTTTAATTCTTCATTGAGTTGGTATATTATTGTTGAGGTCTCAGATCTAAGAAAATCATGAATTCTCACAATATTCCTCAAAGTTATGAGCAGAGCTCCAGGCAATCTGTAAGTATTGCATTTCATGAGTCCAGTGTCTACATGTTCCGAGAGTGACACTAATCCTACTTAGTCTGGGGGATTAACTGGCTAAAACTCTAAAAAGGCTAACTGTATTTTGGAACAGGTCAAGGGACAGACTCCTTTGTCAAACTAAGTCTTCCTGCAAACATGCAACAGAGTAATTAATATTCTAAATATATGTACATGCTCATCAGCAAAAAGTTAATTGAAGATAGCTCAGTTGGTTAGAGCATGGTGTTGGTCAAGGTCAAGGGTTTGGATCCCCTTCCCAGCCAGCGGCCAAAGAAAAAAAGGTAATTGAAGAATGTATATATACATACAAACCCCAAAGTACAAGACCTATAACTTTAACTATTCCAATAATTTGCACTAGTGTTTCCAAGTGAGTTTCCAAATATTTTTAAAAATTAAATCTAGCATTTCTTCTTTCAAATTAACTGATTACCTTAAGAGTGCCTTCTAGGAATGTTTGGACACCATCAATTGTGTTTTTTGTTCAAAAACATGATACCATAAGCCTAGATTTCCTGACTTCAACACTAATTTAAATTATTACATAAATAGCCTACAATTGTTTAACTCTTTCCTTAAGAAACAAAAAAACAAGACTTTTTTTTAAAGCTGCTAAAAAATATGATTGTTAAGACAAGATGTAAATCATTTTTGGACCCTGGTGCAAGTCACCTTATGACTATGGACCTAAGTTCCTCATCTATGAAATGGGTATAATAAAACCTGTTCTACCTACTGCAAGGACTAATTTCTTCAGCAACAACTTGTTCTTCACTACACTGCATAAAGTTATAGAACTATTAAAAGACGTGAGTGAATTATGAGTAAACCATTATTAGACACAAACAGTTGAAGAAATACACTTCAAATTAACAGTCGTCACAAACATTGATTTGGATCATGTAATGAGAACGAGCAAAACCACAGAGGCAGAAGGTTTACTGTAAATCTACAAGATTTCAGTAATAAAACATGAGAATATGGAACAAAATAACCCAGAAGAACACAGGATAAATGAGTTAGTAATCGTTCTCGAAACTACGCAGATTTTAGGCTAGGAAGACAACAAAGGGAAGAACCAAGGACTGAACGTCTACTTTTTAAACTAATGGTAAAAAATAAAAACCAACTTGCAACAAAGTAATTATTCCATATTAGACCCCCTCCCAACACTGTCATAAAAAAATAAATTAAACCTCTACAAAGCTCAAAAGTTCACGTTTCAGGAACATACTAACACCAATAACCGTGTACATCAGGTGGTTTCTCTTTGTTGCTTACCGATGACACAGCTTTCTCTTTCTGACAGTCCACAACTAATTACGAACCCAACTGCTTGCCTAATGGCCCTTTCCTACCCCCACCTAAATATTAGGAACTAAACGGGAAGTGTTGCCTGAAATGTTGAACTAAAGAAAGTTCCTTTTTTGGGGAACAGGGTCCTTGGGGACAGAGAGGAACGCTGGGGAGGGGGCGGTGGAGGGTCTGGCTGCGTCGAGTTGGTCAGAGGCTCGGGGGGAACAAGCGAAGCTGGGAGGCGAGGGCCTGCTCGCCGCGTCCCCTCGCCCGCGCAGAGAGGTGTCGGCGGGGCTCAGCGCGCTTTGGGGACCAGGCCCGGACGGTGCCTCCGGCCCGGATGCTGGGAGAGGCTGGAGGTGGGGGCCAGGCCTGCTGTATCCCAAACGGACCGGGGAGGCGCTGAGAAGCCACGGGGGGGCAGCTCGGGCCTCTCGGTGCACGGAGGAAAGGATGGCGGCTCCCTGGGCCCTAAGGAGTTAGGCGGTGGGGGTCTGGCGGGCTTTGTGGGGACCCTGGCGGAGGGACTGCAGCCGCACCCGGGGAGCAGGGTCTTAGGCGCAGCCCTGGCAGTGTCAGCCGAGAGGTGCCCGCGTCTCGGAGAGGGCAGACCGGCGGCTTAGGGAGAGAAGACGAAGAAGGTAGGCCGGAGGGGCGTCCGGGCCGCACCTCGAGCCCCCGCCCCTTTCACCTGCCACGAACACCACGAAGACGGAGCCGCTCCTCTTGGCCGACGCGATGGCGGCCGGAATGGCGCCCTGGAACCACAGCATAGCTCCCCTCGGGCCCAGGCGCTCGCTCTTGTGTGGTAGCCCCGGTCCCTGAGCTGGCCCCGCCCTGCCCCTTCGTCGGACCCCGAGGCCCCCGCAGCCCCTGTTGGTCCGGCCTCCGTCTTCGGCTCCGCAGGAGCGCACTCGCCCGTCAGCGGCCCCTTGGGCTGTGCGTAAGCACGCGCTAGAGGCCCGCTCCCCGTCACGTGACGCCACACGTTGCCGTCGGCTTAGCGCCTCAGTGCCTTGTCTCGTTGGCAAGTCGGTGCGTACCCGCGCCAGCTAGGCCTCGGCCCCGAGGTACAGGAAGTAGAAGGAGGCAGTGGGAAGGATGACTAAACGCTACGGCACGTCGGCGGCGCCTGCAATGAGGCATGACGGGAATTGTAGTCTTCTTAGGCTTGTTTGCGTCCATAATGTGGAAAATGTATCTGTGGTTCCCGGGGCACGGGTAGGGAGGGCAGTAGTGAGAGCCACTACACAATCTATAAAAGGGAGAGGGGAAGTGTAGCTCTGACGGGGATGTGCTACTCTCGGCCTCACTGAGACCTTAATTCTGCTGGAAATCGTCTCCTCACGGACCTAAATGGGCTTTTGTACGGATTTACTCCGAGGCTTTGATTTCTATTGAATTTATCACCCCAACCTTGTAGAAGAGACAGGATAAAAACCACAACTATCACCTTCTGTAATACCATATAGCCCATGTGTCTGAGGGAAGGTATTGGTAGGATATAAGCCTTCACATTTCATAGGCACTGGCTAGAGATCATTTCAAAACCCTCAAAACACTAATTATTGCTATTGCCATAGCTGCCTTCTAAAATCACACAAAAGCAGAGAATATTTTCTGGCTACTTTCCACGGTAATACAAAAGAGAATAAATATAATGATTTCGTTTTCAATTTTATGAGAGAATGTCCTATAATCAAGATACGGCACTTTGTAATGGATTACCCTTAAAATGAAAACTGATCCATATTTAATATTTCCATGAAATTACATGATCTTTAATAACAATTAGCTAAAGACTTGTATGGTTTATTTAAAGTTGCATATGCTATTATAGTATACTACAGTTTACATTCTACATCAATTAAATTTCTCTTCCAGCAGTACAACCATTAGACAATCTTTGCAGGATTAAAGAGGTGATACATCCGAAAATACCCTTTTTGCTACAAATATTTTACCTAAAAATAGCTAACAAATTGCCCTCCAGTTTTTGTACTTTTTTCAGTCAGATTTCTCATATAGTGATATTATAAACTGAAATATAATGCTATTTACAGTTGCTCTTACATAGGACACCATCACTCAGGAAGAATTAATATTTAACATCAATTTTAAATACACTTCTTAAAATTTGATCAACCTAGAAATTCTTCCAGTAGAGCTATGTCTATAATTACTCCTAATATTAGAATTAAATAGTATAAGAATCATTCATAGCTTTTCATTCATTCATCAAATGTTCATTGCTCATCTACCATGAGCTAGGCATTGTACTTGGCATTGATAAGGAGGTGAGGCAGTCAGATGAAGGCCTTGTGTATTTACGCACAGCCCAAGGGACTGCTGGGACTATACAGTCTATGAGGAAGGCAGACATTGAACAAGTGATTGTAAGTGATGATGAATACCACAAGAAGGGAAATTCAGAGTGCTATAGAAGTGTGTGAAGATGTGACCAAGCATGGACTAACAGGGTTAGAAAAGGCCTTCATGAGGAAATGTTAAAAGAATCTAGGAGCTAGGGTAAAGGAAGACACCATTTCAGGCAGAGGAAGAAGCACTGTGAAGGCTCTGAAGTAAGCAAATGTAGTGCACTTTGAAGAGCTAAAAAATGCCCCATGTAGCTAGAACACAGAAAGGGGAGTGTAGTGCAAATGAGGCTGGAAAGATAGGCAAGGATCAGATAAGCCAGGGCCTTGGAAGTCATGTTAAGGATTGCAGTCATTTTTCGAAGGATTGTAAAAAGCCATTAAAGAATTTTAAACAGATGAGTTACATATAAGACTTGTGTTTTCAGATTGCAGCATGGCAATTAAGTACATTAGATCGAAAGTGGAATGGGTGAATGTGAAGAGACCGGTTAATAGGCTCTTGTCCATGTGTAAGGGAGATGGAGAAGTGAATACTTTGTATTTTGGAAGCAGACCCAACAGGTTTTTTGACTGATTAGATGTGGAGGTTGAGGAAGAATGAGTCAAGAAGGGATTTTAGGTTTTCATCTTGAAAAATTATAAACAAAGTAGTACTGAGATAGGGAACACTGAAGGAAGGGCAGGTTGGTAGGGGGGTGTGTGTGTGAAGATGTGAGTTCAATATTTAGACATGTGTTTGGAGTGCTGGAGAGACATTCACAAGATGTAAGGCATATAGATTTCGAGATCAGAAAACAGTTTTTAACTAGAGATGGGAATGTGAGACTTCTGTATATACACAGTTCTTAAGTGAAGCTCTGGAGGATGCTATTACTTAAGGAGATTGTGCAAAGTGAGGTGAGACAAGAGTATGACTGAGGTGTTAAAACCTCCAATATTTACAGGGTTGTATAAAAACGTATAAGTCAATAAAGGAGACTTACAAGGAAAGATAGGGGGATAAGTTGGAGTAAAATGGGAGAGTGGGTGATACCAAAGAAATCAAGGGTAGAGAGAGGTTAGAGAAGGGAATGAGAAGTTATGTTAAGTGCTGCTGTTGGGTCAATTAAGATGAGACTTTAAAATTCTCATCGTCTTGAGTAACATAGAGGTAATTATAAGCTTAGAAAGAGCAGTTTTGGTGGGTTCTTCTGTCTGGAAGCCAGATGGCAGTGGGATGAAGAGTGAGAGGAGTGTCAAGAAGGGGAGTCACTGTAAAGGGAAGGAGGAAGAAAGGACATTAGTAAGACAGGGATTTGGATTGGGAGAGACAGACTCTTTAAATATGGGAGAGACTTGTACAAGACTAAATGCTGATGGAAAAGAACTAGTCTTCAAGAAATTGAGCACACAGCAAAGAGGGAGGCCCCTGTGAAGATAGGAGGGAAAATGAGATAAATAGCAGATTCTGTTCATATTTATTCTGTTCATATTTATTCTGTTCATATTCTCCTCCTTGGGAGTTGCACTCAGCTGAAGGCACAAAGGCCTGGGCCCCTTGCATCATTTTGGCCTCTGAAGGACCTCCCATCTTCAGCCCTCCCTGGGATCATCTGAGACTTCTGTTACAACTGCATCTCACCAATGTTGTTACCAACGTAGTTCACTCCCTAATAATCCTCCTGCAAGCAGATCTGTCTGTTTCGTTGAACCCAATTGAGACAGAGCCCTGCCTACTCACTTGATGCTTGAAAGATTCATACAACTTTCCTTACTACTCTTTCTGCCCTCTCTCCAGTCCATCTTACGCCATGACATCATATCCATCTTCCCCCCAAATTATTTTTTTTTTGTCTTTTTCCGTGTCCGGCAACGGATCGCAACCCTCAGTGTCGCCCCCGTACCGGACCGGGACCGGCAACGGGATCGCAACCCTCGGTGTTGCTCCCGTGCCTCGCTCAGCCAGTGAGCGGGAACCGGTCTGTATGTGGGATCTGAACCCTCGGGCGGGAGCGCTGCCGCGCTTCCCAAGCTGCACACTATCCAGTGCGCCACCGGGCCGGCCCTCCCCCCAAATTATTTAACATGTTGGTCCCTGCTTAAAAATCCTTAGTGCCTCTGTAGTGTCTCCAAAAATAAAGTACACATTCCATAGCCCTTCAAAGTCATCTACAACTTGGCTCCAACCTACTTTTCCAATGTTTATTTCCTCTCTTCCCCATCTGACATCTCTAGGCCAACCAGCCTCTTTCATTCACTGTCTAGGGCATGCTCCTTACCATCTCTGTTTTTATTTGCATCATGACTCTGGCATGTACTTCTCTCCCTTCTCTCATTCAACAAATATTTGGGTGCCTATTATGGGACAAGTAGTAGACTTGGATAAAATGAAAGATCCATATACTGGTTATAATAGAGAGGAAGGAAGGGTCAGGGATGGATGGCCTCTTGGGGGAAGTCATATCAATGCTGTTTTTCAAATAGCCATGAATCACTGATGAAAAGTTAAGCTCCTTTTTATACCCAGGCCCTTAAAACAGAAGTTTGTTTGCTGGTGTGCAGGAGGCAAAATATGAAATGGGTTTGTAAAGCTAGATGACTACGCCAGTTGTCGGGTTGAGGAAATAGCTACACTAATTGTATTGCTAGGGTTATTGTCAGCCAGTTGTATTGTTAAAGCAATTCGTAACTAAAGTCAAAATGTTACATTATGTTAGTTATACTAAGTTTCCATTTGTATTGCCAGGACTAGGGCTCGGACCCTTCAAACATAGTACAGACTGAGTCATAAACCCTTCACATGCAGGTCCAGGCTAAGTAACTGGGAAAGACCCTGGGGATCAGCTGGTAGACAACACGAGCTTAGTCTTCAGCAGTAGCAGCAGCTTACAGGTCCAGTGACAGCAGCAGTGGCCTCTTGGGGCATCCCGGGGTCCTGGCAGCAACAGCCAGCAGTAGCAGCCTCCCTATGTGACCCCCGCCTCGTTCCCGGGGGCGGGGGAGCGCCATGGAGCAGAGCCACTCATCCTTTATACTTAAGTCCATAACCTAGGACACCTGTGCGCACATACCCAATTACATTAGTCAGTAGCCAAGTAACACCTGGGCGCATGTGCATTTGATGTTCTGCAAGATTCTGAACATCTGAGGGGTCCTGACCATATTCCTTCACTTTCCCTATAGGGTTATATCCTGTTATTTTCCTTCTCACTGCCACCCTTCAGTTCTACAGATGAAAGACTTCCCGTGAGCTTGGTTCCAAGGTTTTACGGACATCTTTTTTTACAAAATAAGTGGTTGCATTGCAACGAGCTCTTCTTTGAAACAGGCTCAGGCCTGTTACCAGGTCTAGAGCCAATGAAAAAGTCAGGATTCAGCTGGTGTCTCTATGCACTGGAAGAACCTCAACCACAACAGCTTGACCCTAATGTGCATTCTCAAAGTTTGGCTTCCTGTCTTCAAAGCCAGAGAGATTGTTCACAGTGGCCCTGGGCCAAGTTAGGGAGCCATCCCATTTAGTTGACTATAAATCCTCTGTTCTTTCACCTCTTGAAACCTATCCATTTTCCCCTGTGACCAATCATTATGTGCTTCTTCTGGTTTGTTCAGAGGCCCTGCAGCTGTATACCATAGCACAGGACCCCTACTTCTCCTCATGTCTT